TACTGCTGATTCAAGAGCCACTGGGAGAGGAATGCACACTGCTCCTCCGTGGTGTTCTTTCCACAGTGCATTCGGCGTATCCCTTTGTGTGGCTTTCCCAGCCAGCTCTGCTCCTGGGCAATGATTCTGAGCATGTCCTTCATAGCTGCATCCTGAGCAGTACAGACCTAATGATCCAGCAGATGAGGGTTGGTGATTTAGCATGTTCCAACTGCAGGCACAAGCTGTTGGGGTGTGTGTCCTGGAGTGAGTGGAGGAAGGGCTGGTCTTCAATGAATAGACCTTCAGAGAGGCCGGGAAGAGTAGCCTCTATATGGTCAAGAGCAATTTCCATGCCAGGACTTCTCCAGCATTCCCTGGGGGTCTTGGCTTTGGTTCGCCTCTGCCCTGCTGTACATATGATGTGCTTGACCTCTTGTCCCAGAGATCTGGCTGCTCCGAGAAGGGTGTAGGATCCTCCCCTACCAGGGTGTCCTCATGTAAAGCTCATGACAGGTCCCGAATTGGAGGCCAAGCCTTGTGGACTCAGTGTTGGCCTGAGGAAGGAGGAGGACAGAGCTCTGTTGTCTGCTCTTCACAGGGCAGTGCCACAGAATCCCCTGCCACCAGTCTGGCTGGAGAAACTCCAAAGTCCTCCCTAAATATCCACCCCTCAGCCCCCTGTGCAGTGCGTCTAGTGTTCTCAGTTCTCAAGATCTCCACCTAACTTGGTTCCAGTTCTTGTTTTTCATGTGGACAAAATAGAGCTGAGTTTATAGGGAGACACAGAGTTTTGTTGTGTTTGAGCTGAAGGAGGGAGAGGTGAGTCTACCTGAGGCTTGCCTGTCACAGGCCACCCCAGCAGAGAGCTGTGGAAATGGCTGATGGTATGCTCTCCCCTCTGTGCACAAGAACAACTGTTTCTGTTTATGGACCAGTTCTTCTGCCCCTGAGTTATGAACTGCACCAACCTCTGCATGATACATGGTTTTATAGCATACAAACATGCCAGTGGTAAGCATCTTCCAAACAGGAATGTCAGGGAGCCCCGAGTTCAGCGGGCTGTGCCTCCTCCAACCCTGTGGCTCTGTGGACTTGGTTCTCATGCTGAGAACTTACTGGGTCACATCTGCACCCTCCATGCTTCCACTGTTGATCTTTGAAGTGTAGCATAGTGGCTTCATCACAGCCCAGTTAGGACCTTCTGTGGCTTCCCAGTCTCTGTGGGGCACCATCCTCACCCATGCTCGGCAGGCACATTATGGAGGCCCACCCTCCATCTTAGCATGGTGGAATTGTGCTGCTGTGGCAGCTCCAGCCTGCAGACAGTTGATTCCTCCACCTGCGGTCACCCTTCCTAGGTCACCTCCTCTCCAAGTCCATGGCGTAAAGAGGAGCAAGGGCAGGACCCTGTAGGCCTGGTCACCTCCCTCATGCTCCTTTGCCAGCCAAGGGGTTGGTGTGGCTCCATTCTCTGCTATGGAGGCTGGAGCGCAAGCTGGGGAAGAAGAGAGGCGTGGGGACATGGCTGCCTCCACTGCCCACTACAGGTGCCCCTGCTTCTTCAGTGCCCCCACTAACCCGCTGTGCCCTCCTGTGCAAGTTCAGCCTCAGCACCCCCTCCTCAGAGCACCTTGCCCTCCCTCTGCTTCCTGACTCTTCCATCTCTCTTCCTGAAATCTCTAGCGCATCCCGGGGCCGCGCACCTGGGTGACTCTCAATAATGGCTATTCTTACTTCCTTGGAGACCAGAAGCCTACCCTTGGGGTGCTGGTAGGGCTGGCTCCTTCCAGGTCCAAGAAGAACCTGCCCAGGCTCTGCCCAGGCTCTGCTCCCTAAGGAGGTGCCACTAGTGGGGACACCAGTGATTGGCAGGTAGCCTTGCCTCTTGAAGTCTGCCCTGCCTACGGCCCTTATCATCACCTGTCATTGCATCTAGGGTCCAACCCCATCCAGAACACTGTCTCCTTGAGACCTCACTCCAAATAAGGCCATGTTCATGGGCTCCCCATGGACACAGCCTCTCTTCTGGGGACCACCATTTAACCTCTGGGTGCTCATGACAGATGGCCTAGCCTTAGAGAGCTCTGGGGGAGCCCTGGCTCTGCTCCCCAGGGGAGGGGCTTCTGCTCTGGGCTGTGTGTCTGCTGGGCTGGAGGCTGGCCCTGCTGTGCCCTTCCAGGTCCTGTTGGCTCAGGCAGGCCACTTCCTCACTGCCCCTCACTAGCCTTGTCTCACATCCGTGTCCTTCATTCTGGGCAAACGGCAGCATGTTCTGGGTGGCCTGGTGTCTGGGCCATCCTGTCTGGGCTTGCTCCCCTGGGCGTGGGCCCTCTGTTTCCAGAGCTCTCTGTGGGGGTGAGCGGGAGCAAGGAAGTGGACCTGGTGCACATGTGTCTTGCAGCACCTCAGGCTGTCTGCCAGATACCACTTTTGGACTGTGCTGTGGTATTTTCTAGAACTGGGAGTGCTCTGAGCCCTGGTACATGTTGGGCAAGGGACTCTGGTGCCCCTTTCTTCTCACAAAGGTGGATGCTGAGGTCCAGAGTGGAGGATGTGGCCAGCCCCAGGGCAGTTGCCCTTGTCCTCTCATCCCCACCTGGTCCAGTGCAGGATTCTAGGTTATATTTAAATACCAACGGTATTGAATTTGGCAAAGTTCAGTGGAAGTTATGGAAATCTTCTCAAAGATTTATCAGAAGGAAATCAGGAGCAGGCTACCGTGGTCCTGTGGTTCAAAACTAAACAGGAGGCATGAGAAGTGATGTCTAATTTAGAAAAGCATGAGCAGGACTGGGTGGGGGGTAGTGGGGGCCCCTGTAGCCCTGCATAACCCACCAGTGTCCTCTGCTGTGTGTGGCAGCTTGGAGCAGTGCCCTGGGGGAGAACTGGGGCAAGAACACAGTGACCAATGAGTGAGGGGCAGGAATGCCACCAGGCAGGGGGAGAGCCCTGTCTCCTCCAAGCTCTGTCCCAGTCCCCATAGGAGTTCCCACCCAGCAGTTCCCGGGGGACCCCAGGGGTCTCCTCCATCCTTCTTGCCTCTGCTGGTCCTGAGGGCTTCAGTCACTATGAGCAGCTTCCTCAGAGACGTCCTCTCTGGTCTTTCTGTCCTCACCAGTGTTACCGCTGGTGACGAGTTCTTGCTTCCCCAGTGCTGAAGATAACGCCAGAGAAGCACGCCGAGGCAAGGTCAGATTGGAAAGTAAAGCTTTACTAAAGGACAGCAGAAAATTCTTCTCCCTGGAGGAAGAAGGGGACAAGAGGTGGAATCCGTGGGAGAGGGAGGTCTTCCCTTGTTCATAGCTTCCCGCGCTCCTGCCACACTCCTGTCCTTTGTTCTGTCATCTTGCAGTGATGGAATGTGAGTGGGAAGGCGTCACCTGGGCACGGAGGGCTTTTGGGTCGCATCTCCCTGTTTGCTGGGAGTTAACATTTCCTTGGGATAGGCTGTGGGCCTTGGGGACTTTTTCAACTCCCCCTTTCCTGGACTCCATTCTCAACATGGCCTTCATTCCTGATTTCACTCCATATTGGACCCGATTTACCTAACTACACTAGCTCCCTATCTGTAAGTCTGGCTCCACCATCTCCGAGACCAGGACTGCCTTTCTGTGTGCCTTGCTGCCCTCCTGTTATCACTGGATAAGGTCCGAGAAAGTTCAGAGGGAGAAGGAGACCTTGACTTGACCCTGAGAGTCCTGGCTTTCACCACAGAAGGGAACATCAGGACCTGTCAGAGGGGCACAAACAGCAGGACCAAGCAGGACATGTGCAGAGGGAGGCCCGCAGCCCTCCAGAGGGAGGTGTGCTTTCGGGGCCCAGGTCATGAGAAGCGCTGGGGAGACATTGGCTGGGGAGTTTCACTCTGCTAATCACAGGGGTCAGGTGGGGTCATGGTGGTCTGGCTCTTTCAGGGTCTGTAGGTCAGGGTCACCCAGTCCTCGTAATCCTCGTTGTCCAACACTGCCTGTGTTTGGAGCACAACCCATCCCAGTCTCTAAGGACACCTGCCTCTGCTCTGTCATCTAACGGAGACTCCAGGTGAGCTGCATTGCTCAGGGTTGGCCACCGAGCTTGCCTGCTCCTGGCCTCTGGGTGTTATGCTCCAATTTGGGACCCCTAAAAGACCACAGAGACCAAGATCGATGTAAGCAGCAAAGAGGTGTTTATTGCGAGCTAGCTCCGTCCTCCATGCGCACACAGCAACTGGTGACTCTGAGAGGCCCCGAGCCCAGGGTTTGCAGCAGTTTTATACATTCCTTAGGGAAGGCAGGGACCCCCACATACATCACAGCAAATCATCACACACCACGGGAAAATCAAATAACAACTCTAAAACATGATTAGCGTATCAAGTGGCGGGAAAGAATCTGGAAAGGATTATTCAAGGGGTTGACGCACTTAAAAATGATTGGTTTAAACCGTGAGGGTGTCGCAAGGGGGGTAGTGCCGAGCTGCAGGGCTTCTAGTTTAGATATTGGTCACCACACCTAGGTGGGGCCATCTGGAATTTCAGATATTTCGATATCTTGGCTTGTCTTAGGCGATCACCATCTGTGGCTTTTCCGAGAACTCTTTCCACAGAGCTTTTCTGTGGTATTTTCCTGACTTTAGGACTGCAGTAAGTCAGGGGTTAAGTTTCAGAGCAAAATGAGGACCCAAGTAGCATGAGGATGCTTAGGTCTTTCACGGGCTCTCAGGAGCTCAGCCCTGGAGGGGATGAGCGGGGAACAGATGTAGTGTTCCAGGGGCTTGTGGGTCCGAAGCCATGGTTCTCCTCCCTCCCTGGGGTCTCCTGCTTGCCTGTCCCACAGGTGGTAGGAGGAGGAATTGAAATGTCACCCAGCTCATATCTGGAGCCTTCAGATGAATCACACAGGCCAGGACGAAGGAGACTCTGGGCTTGGCCCTGCCCCACACTGGGCCTAGGGTTTCTCTCTCCTCACTCCCTCCCTGAGGTGTCCCGTCCACCCCCCTGCCTCTGGTCTCCTTCACTGATCTCTCTTCTTCATGAGCAGCCAGGGCACCTGCTGGGCTTCCCAAGGACTGTCAGCAGGAGGCTGCGAGGAACCATCTGGTGCTCCGGGAGTTTCCACTTCTGCCATCAAGGCCAATCAGAGAGGACGTGACCATGAGGTGTTAAGGTCTGTAGACAAGTCAAAATAACACGTGGTATTTTGCCAGGGGAATGTAGAGTTCGTAAACAAGTCTGGATGGTGCCTGGCAAAATGCCAGAGGGAGTGGTTTGAGAAGTAACAAAATCGAGCCATTAAGTGTGGAGATTCCTTATTGGTTGACTGATGTATCTAGTTTATGCTAATTAAGATAAGCTGTGCAAGATGTATAAATAGCTGTTTGTCCTACAATAAAGGGCTTCCATTCCTGCTGCATCAATCTACAGAAGTTATTCGTCACCCCCCGGTTATTCTGCTGCAGCCGGACTGCGGCAATGAGGGACAGTCAGGGTGTGGCTGTTCTGGAAGATTCCCACTGCCTAATAACAAGGACTGCGGCAAGAGTCTGTCTTCACCAGGAGAAGTCCAGCCTGACTCTGGAGTTGGTGCCGGCAGCAGTGGTGCTCAGAGTGCTTCAGGTGGAGGGATCCTGGCAGCTGGCTCTGCAGGGTCTGTGACTCCCACCGTGGGCTGACTTTGGGGCTATCAGCTGCCTCATTTCCTCTTGTGCCTGTCAAGGTGGCTGCGGGGACCTGGGATCCTGACCTTGGACTTCCCCACGGTCCTCCCCCTTGGTCTCTCCAGGTTTCTCTCCTCTCACCTGGCTTGTCAAGTACCTGAGTCTGGAGCCGGATTCCACACCTTCCTTTCTTGTCCATCTGGGACATCATGGTCATTCTACAAACACCCACTGGAGACAGCATGGCCTGCCCAGATCTCTCGTGGAACAGAGGGTACTTGGTCATTGGTGCTGACATTTTTCTCCAGGTAATTCTTTGGGGAGTTCATTTGGGGAGTTGTGTCTCATTTTTTTTCTTTGTCAACATGACCAGAAGCCTTTAAGACTGCAGGGACAGTGGGAGACCCCAGGAGCAGCCCAGCAGCATCCCCAGCCCCAGGTTCCATCCCCAAGGACTGGACCCAGTGTGGGAAGCCACTCTGAATGACCCATGCCTTCCATCCCGAAGCAAGAGGCTCTGAGGAGCACTACATTTTGTGATGCTTGATTGTTGTCCGAGCCCAGGAAGTAGAAGGCGTGTCCAGGAGCTATGCTCACCTATTCCTTTGTAATCCTACCCCTTTACGCTGTTTGGGATAGAAAGTTCCATGGAAATACCCTTTGTGCATCCCCTTCTCTGGCTCTGCCCTTGGGTGTGGCCTCCCTAGATGTCAGTCAACCTGCTGACAGCAGACATCATGAAGCTAGACTCAGTCCCCCGAAACCTGACCCCTTGCCTCATCTGAATGGCTTTGCCTCAATAAAAGGGTTTGGCAAGTGCCCTCTATTTTTCTATGGACCTCTAAGGTCAGAGGAGCTGTCACAGGACCCAAAGAACAAGGCATTTCTCTGTTTCTGTGTGATGATTTTGTGCAGCGATGCTGAGGGCCATTACCAAGTAGGAATGACGCATCGAAATTTCCTTGCCAAGCGTACCCCATGCTGCTTAGAGGACATTCCTTGAGCAAGGTCACCTTATTAAAGCATGCATGCAATGTCCCATCGAATGTCCTCTAAGCAGCATGGGGTACGCTTGGCAAGGAAATTTCGATGCGTCATTCCTACTTGGTAATGGCCCTCAGCACAGCCCCGTTCACCCGGAGTGACCCTGAGTGTTTAAGTTGTGAGGAACATGACAATCCAGGCCACAGAGGGAACCCTTGAGTAGAGGTGTGTGTTCTGGTGCTTTGGGACCAACATGAGGAGTGTTTCTGGGGGCTGCAGTTATGCCTCTCTGCAGGGGAGTAGGCCTAAGTCTGTCTGGCCTGGCTCAGGATTGCTCTTCCCAGCCTCCTGCCCACCACACAGGGACACAGCCCATAGCCAGACACTCACAGATATGTCCCTGAGCACAGTGCAAAGTCTCCTGACTCTCATGGCCTTTGTGACCTTGGAAAATGCGTACCTCTCCAAACCCCAACTTTCCCAACTATAAAAATAAGCATCTCTAAATTTTCTCAGATGTTTTGTGTACTCAATGAAATTTTTGCAGGAGTTTGGAAAAAGCACGAATCTCTGTATAGTGTAACTGTTGTGGTGAGGCTGAGCTTTATGTACATATTTTGATCAAGGTGAAGTAGGAGATGGTCAGAAGGCTTAACAGTTTCTCGAAATGCAGTTGATCAAAAATGTTTATTCTGTGAACATTTTATAGAGTAGAAGAATATGTAACAGAAAATCCTCTATCCAGGTGACATGGATTTCACTGAGTACCTTCCGTGTGCCAGAAAGGCCAAGGTCCTTGGGTTCTGAGCATCTGGAAGCCAGCAGCCTGCACCCCGTCAGTTTTGCAGGCAGCTGGTGTGAACCCGGCCAGATGCACTCAGAACCTCATGCTCTTCCTCGAGGACCCGTTAAAGCTGAGCCTCTGTGTAGGCTCAGCAGGCCTCAGGCAGCTATCCTGTCCTGGGCGTGCAAAGGCTCAATAGTCAGCAAAGACGACTTCTCTGGCAACTTCTGGGGGCTCTGCAGCATCTTGTTTCTTTCCTCTAGCCTGAGCCCACTGACTGTGGAGCCTATGGATGGGGTGATAACTTCAGCATTGTGGGTCACGGGATCTGAGTGACGGCTGAGCTGTCTCTCTCAACACCTCTGCATATGTAGGAGCCTGGGTCTGCTGGAGGAGTTGTGGGGTCCAGAGGGCTGTGGGGCTTTGCTTGGTTTCACTGCCCATCAGCTGAGGTTCTTCAGGACCCTCATGACTGGAGAGGGAGATGTTCTGCCAGGGAAGCAGCCTGGGGCATGCTTCGGGAAACTTCTGAGCCCCACAGAGGCTAGACAGAGCCTGGGCTCCTGTTCTACTTCATGGGAGCAAGACACACAGGGTGATGCAGAGCCTCCTCATGGGCCTGCCCAGCCTGGCCACCCTGGTGGTAAGTGTGGTGACCATGCCCCGGCACACTGGTGGCCTGAGGTGACGTGGCCTGGCTAGTCAAGATGGCCTGGGCTCCCTGGGACCTTGAGAGTGAGATGGGTGTCTGGCTGTAGTGCAGCCCGTGAGGTTGGGAGATGAATTGGTAACTGCGTCCACTAGACACTTGGACCAGATCCCCAGAGACCCATTTCTGAGCAGCAGGGGGCATAGGACCAGGCCGCTGGCCCTATGGGACAGCCCCCTTACTGGCAGTCTTATTCCTCTTCCCCAGGCCCAGCTTCTAGTTGGCCTTGTCCCAGGATGGCTGGAAGCCATGGCCAGCACGTCTAAACTAGCAGATTCTGGCAAGGGGCGATGGGAGATTAGAAGAATAAAGACTCATATGCACAGATTTTGAAGATAACAACTGGTATTGGGGGAAGCACTGCTCTCTGATGGAGAAGCAGGTCTAAAGAATCACACCAGCAATCTTTATCATATATGTCCCATTAATCAGATTAAAGGTGCAGGTGTTATTCTTTGTACCCAGAAAGTTACAGGGCTGCAACATTATGCAGCTTTTCTGCAGCTACATTCTACAGTTGCGATGTGCAATGTTAGGAGAATGGAGCAGCTCTTCAGAAAGTCCACTGTTCAAAGTTACTGTTAGGCAGGCAGGTTCAGGAGCAGCGAGCTGGTGAAACATTGTGGTTGTCTAGCAAGAAGGTTCCTCTGTCCCCAGGAGCTGTGTGCCTGAGGTCAAGGTCCAGGCTGATAAGACTCCAGCACCCAGCCTCCTCATGGAGGGTGTTACCATAGCAACTAGGCATCCCCCACGTTTGCCCAGAAACTTTCCCAGGCACCAGGCATGCCACAGCCATGAGGCCCTCAGGGACCCCGATGTCAGACCCTGCTCTCCTGTTCTCTGTCATTGCTCTCCACAGCTGGACATTAAGGAGGTGGCCCCTTGGGCACCAGGTTGGCTATGGAAATCAGCAGGAGCTGCTCTTCCCCTGTGGACAGGGGAGTCCTGGGTCTACCTGCCAGCCTCATGACCCCGGGGCAGCCCAGGACTGGCGTGTTCTTGGGGGTTGGCCAGTCGGGCCCTCCAGGGTGAGGAGGCTGTGGACTCTCCTTTGTAGGGAGGTGTCCTGCTGAGGGGCTGCTTCTCACTGGTCCCCTGTGCTCCCACAGTCCTTCTCTCTTACTCCAGGTTTCTCTGGGGAGGAAAGCGAGGCCCCTCGCCTCAGTGAGAACCCTAAAATTCACCCTGTTAGGAGCCTGAGATGTGACTCATGTGCCCTCTCCAGGGGAGGAGAAGGACTCTGTGGTGGCAGTCACGACTTACAGTAGCAAAGCCTCGGTGGCCTTAAGGGGACATCCTCTGCCCTCACCCACCTTGCCCCCACCTCGTGGGGCGGAGGGGCTCGCTGAGCACAGCCTCCCTGGTTCCTGGCCCATCCCCTGGGACTGGCATTCTGGTGAAGGAGCCCGAAACTCCAGGGCTTCTGCTTCAGGCTGCCAGACACAGGGTCCGGCGCCCAGCAAGAACAGAACCTGGCACTGCAGGGGGGAGAGAGGGGCCCACCATGTCACCATACGAGAGGCTCAGGGTGCTGGTGGGTGGGGAGCGCAGAGGCCAGCGCCCTGTGGGGCTCCTCGCTGAGGAAGAGTGCCACGGCCGCGTCTCAGGCCTCTGCTGGTGGAGGCTGAAGGCAGTGTGGGTCCTGAGGCAGCGGAGACCAGTGGAGGCAGCGAGGCTGCCAGCCTTGGAGGGTGGCAAGTTCTGAGAGTGGTCCCACTCTGGCCCCCAGGGTCCCTGTGGCTAGGCAGCAGCTGCTTCTGTCACTTAGGGATCAAGGTTGTAAAGTCTGCCCCATCCCAGAACTTTCTGGTGATTTTGGAGTGGGTGTCTTGGTGCAAATGGTGTTTGCCCACCTACTGTCTCCTGAAGAGCAGCTCCTCTCTAGGCCTGTCAGGTCCACCCAGGAAAACGGACAGACCACTGACCTTGTCCAGGATAGAGTCCACTTCTCATGGAAATGTCTACCAAAGAAAACAGTGAACAGAAATGTATGTGTTTAGCTTAGCGATAGCAGATGTGGAACAGTCCTGAGTCAGTACCCCTCCCTGGACAACTTCTAACAACCCCTAAGAGCAAAGGAGGAAAGGGTGAATGCATGGGTGCAGGTGTTGGGGTGTGGGATGAGGGAAAAGGAGGTAGGGCATGGGATGAGGGATGTAGGTGTAGGGTGTGGGATAAAGGATGTAGGTGTAGGGTGTGGTATGAGGGAAGGAGTTGTAGGGTGTGGAATAAGGAATGGAGGTGTAATGTAGGGTGTGGGATGAGGGATGGAGGTGTATGTAGAGTGGGGGATGAAGGATGGAGGAGTATGTAATATGTGGGATGAGGGATGGAGG